TAGGTGCTTCATGAACCTACTGGACTTGCTCGTGTCAGCCGTGTGGCACTCCCAGTTAACGTCTGGCAAGTTGAAGTCCCCCATAAGGACAAGGGGAGTTAATCTCGAGGCCTCTCTTAGTTCTGTAAAGAATAAGTTATCGGAGCTATCGTCCTGGCCAGGCGGTCTGTAATAGACTCCCACAACGACATCCCCTTTATTCGTTCGTCCCTTGATCTTAACCCAGAGGCTCTCAACTTTGCCATCGCCGACCTGAAGTTCCACACAGTCCAGCCCCTGCTTCACATACATCGCCACCCCACCACCTCGCCTACCCTGCCTGTCCCTCCTGAAGAGCCTGTAACCATCTATCGCAACACCCCAGTCACAGGACTCATCCCACCAGGTTTCGCTTATGCCGATGATGTCGTAGTTGCGGGACTGGGCCAGGACTTCTAGCTCATCCATTTTATTCCTCATACTGCGTGCGTTCGTGTAGAAGCATTTCAGGTGCGTCTCCTTACACTCAGCACCTTGTGGATCTGACCAAAGGACCTCACTGGCACACAGCCCCTCTGATTCTAGCGTACCATCCCTTAGGTCTTCACCGGCGTGCCTGGCGTTTTAGCCCCTTCCCCCTTCGACTCTAGTTTAAAGCCCTATCTATCAGCCCTGCCAACTCCTGACCAAAGATCCTTACCCCTCTCCGAGAGAGGCGCATCCCATCCGGTGCCATCAGACCTGGTGTAGCATAGACCTTCCCGTGATCAAAGAACCCAAAGTTCTGCCGGTTACACCAGTCTCAAAGCCACTAGTTTATGTGAACAGCACGCCTTTCAGCTTCGATCCCCCCTATTGGAAGGACAGAGGCAAACACAACCTGCGCCCCTGATCCTTTAAGTAGTCGCCCCAAATCCCTAAAGTCTCTTTTGATCGCCTTCAGACTTCTCGTTGCTACTTCATCGCTACCAGCCTGAAAGACCAGTAGCGGGTAGTAGTCAGTGGGCCGTACCAGGCACTTGACTTTCTTGGCAAAGTCTCTCACCTGAGCCCCAGGGAGGCAACAGACTTCTCTGTGGGTTGGGTCCGGTCAGCATATCGGTCCCTCTGTCCCTTTCAGAAGGGAGCCCCCCATAACAATAGCCCTTCTTTCTTTTTTGAAGGATGATGTGGCAATGCGATGTGTAGGTCGCCTTGTCTTAGGCGCCCCCTCCAACTGGGACGGGTTTTTATCTACTTTGTCATTCAGATTGTCTTGTTCTAGTCCTTCATATCGATTATTTAAGGGTAGATGGGAAGGTGAGGTGGGCAGAGAGAGGGCTCGCCTACCACCCCGAATAGGCACCTGCCTCCATTCCCCCCCTTGATCTAGGTCTCCTCCCGCTGCCTGGCAGGAGGAGGGAACCTCCGTCTTCTGCATAACAGGAGACGCCTGTGCTGTGGCAGGCTTGTGAGCCTGCCTCAGAGAGGGTAGAGTGCACCTCCACCAGTCAATTTCCATCTCTGATTCCCTGATGCTCCTGAGCCTGTTCACCTCCTCCCGGAGCACCGCTACCTGGCTGAGCAGTTCTTCAACCTGGGCACACCTCCCACAGGCATACCCACCACTGCTGTCGGAGACCGACAGAAGGCTGGGGCACACTCTGCAGCCCAGGACCTGGACGGCTGCGTGTTTCCCCGAGCCCTCTGAGTAGGTCGGATCAGGTCATCCACCTGCTCGCACCTCACGCACGCAGCGTCTCTGCCTCCCGCCGACGGCAGCAGCAGGCTCTGACACTCCCTGCATCCGGTGACCTGAACCGCTGCATTCTTTAACGGGTACTCGGTCTGGGTGTGTACCGACCTCCTGCAGAGCGCTCCGTGCCTGGTGGAGACCATTATCACCTAGCTAAAGACCGTCGTTAACAGGTGTTCGTATGGGAGGGGGTTCCTCTCCGCCCTTCCTGCTCGCCCTGCCTGCGCGAACTGCCGCGCCACTCCCTTATGACGCGCCACGCCCTGTTTGCCCGTCCTGGTCGCCGCGCTCCCTAGGGGCTGCTTTTGAAAGGCCGGGGAGGGGGCGCTGCTGGCTCCGCCTTCGCCTCGTCAGCCTCCCTCACGAGGGCTGCCGGCTCCTGGCGGCTCCCTGAAGTCGGCGCCATGCCGGAAAGTTAGCCCTGCCTGGCCCGATCCCCCGCTCCGCTGCAGAACGCGTCTGCCCCGGAGCCGATCGCCTCGGCAAATGGCAGCCGTGGCCAGGAACAAACACGGCGCCTGTCCCGCTGCAGTGTAACCAGAGACCCTCTAATTTAGCCCTGGCAGCCCTGTGATTGTTGGTCCTGCACCTGGGTGGAAGATGTGCTGGTAGGAGGAACAGGGCAGGGTGACCACCTCCTTCCTCCCAATGGGGATCCCCCATGAGCTGCATCCGTCCCAGCTGGCGGGGACAAACCCGATGGAGAAAGTGACAAGGAGAAAGCAGGAGGGCAAGCAACACCAGGCTCTTGCCAGCCACCTCCAAGACAAACGTGTGCCCCAAAATGCACACAGCCTGGGGGGTACCCCATGGTGGGCAGCAGAGAGGATCACAGGGTACAAAGAGACCTCCTGGAGCTCTGCCTGGGTCTCTGCCCATGGGCAATACACAGACCAGCACCAGGCTGAGACACGAGGCAGGGTGAGGGGGTCTCCCAACCCTCCAGCAGCAGAGCAGCCCTCCCAGATCAGAGCAAAGGTCCTGCTGGCCCCCCACATTCATGACCCAGGGAAAGGCCCCATGTATTTCCCCTGTACTCCCCTGGGCAACACGCAGTTTGCCTTTTAACCTCCACCACCTCTTCTTCTGCCCCTTCCTCCCTCCCAAACAGGGAACCTGTTCTCCAGGCTGGTCCAGACACAGCCCCGCAGCCTGGGGAGGGACCAGGGGACATGTCCCCCCCCAAGGAAGATGACAGGGGTGGGACAGAAGTGACAGCTACCCTGCAGCCCCTAGGACAAGCCAGCACCGCAACCTGCCTCAAACTGCCACCCTTATGGGGCAGCACCACGAAAAACTCCTTTCCATTCTCCCTGTCCCATCCTATATAAGCCATCCAGTGATAATTGGTCCCTTTGTCCCTAAGCACCTGGGGGCACTGAAGGTAAGGGACATGCCCCTGTCCCCTGGCTGACTGGGACAAGCCACCTGATGGGAGACCCACATGCAGGATGTGATTGGTCTAGGGCTGGGCAAAAAGAGGGAAGGAAGCAAGCGAGCAGCCAGCTTCCACCTCAGGAGCCTTAGCAGGATTTATCCCCCTACCCTGATGTCTCCTTTGATCTGTCCCCTCATATTTACACCACAATTTGTTCCCAGCAGCAGCCAGCTTTGCTCCTGCCCTGACCAGGGGCAGGGTGTGGGACCAAAGGAGAAGAAATGCCTGGGATGCCTTCTCTCTGCAAAGCCTCCCCAGCCCCAGGAGTGAGGGAGGAGCCGCGTCCCACCTCCTGCCTGACCCCGGGAACCTGACGGTCAGCCTTTTTCTGTGCAGCGGGCTGTAACATAACACTTCCCCACGAGATATTCGGCCTATGCAGCACACCCACGCCTGAAGTGACCAGGCTCCCCAGCACAGCTGTGGTGCTGCCCGCTCATGTCCCAGGGGGACCGGGGACCTCGCCATGGGGGATGTCCAGGCAGAAAGTCTGGTCCCTGTGGCCATCCTCATCCCCTCCTGCTGGGGGTGAGCACCGCTGTAAGTCCCCTGTCCCTGCGCACCCCACAGCATCGGGTGGATATAAGGGACATCCTGCTATCTCCTGAGCAGCGCCACCCTAAAAAGCCACGCAGCAGATGCACAGGGACATCTCTGCCTGCTCCGTCCCTTCACTGCACCCTCCCTGTCTCGCCTCAACCCCAACAAGCACACCAGGAGTGCAAACCTGAGTGGTGCTGTGCAACCTGCGCTCACACCCCTGCACCCACAGTGTGCACACTAGGGCTTGTACAACCCAGCTGGGAGGTGTCCATACAGAGGCCTTTTCTCCTCCCTATATATGAGCCCCACAGGCCTTGTGATCCCCCATATCTCTGCACAACAAGGGTCTCCCCTGTGCCCAGTGGAAGCAAGTGGATGGGGTTGAGGGGCTGCTCCCTCCAGCCCATATAGGAAGTCAGAGAACACATCCAGCAGCCACATCATAGAAACACAGGGGAGCTCAGCTCCTGGGGTGACTGTGCACCAGGACCCTTGTCAAGTCCCCTCGGCAGCATGACACAAGGGGAAAGCTGCATCTGGGCCCTTCCCTCTGCTCCCATACCGCATGAGGGCTGTCCCTGGGGCTGTTGCCCCACCTGCCCCCCCTCTGCCCCCTCCATCTCTGCCTGGAGACCATGCAAAGCCTCCACAGACAGGGGTCACCCACTTTTACCACGGGGGACAGGGCCTGTCATGGGTCAGGGCAGGCATGGGGAGGTGCCTGGATGCTGGGCACCCTGTTGTGCCCCAGGGAATCCTCCCAGCCCCACGGGGCAGAAAGGGCTGGGGCTGCCCAAGCTGCTCTGCACAGAGGTGCTGGAGACGAGCGTGGGGACCTGGGGGCAGGCAGAGGGGACGCAGGACAGGTGGGGGACACCAGGTTGGGGTGGGATTGGACTTGGTGGCAGGGAGTGACATGAGGGAGTCCATTTGGGGTGTGACAGGGTTTAGGGTGGGAGGGAGACGAAGAGCACAAAAAGATGTGCTCTTGCAGGGGTCAAGGTGGGACAAGGTGCAGGAACAGGGGTGGTGTAGAACACTAGGGGGTGCCCATTTAGGGTGGGATGGGGCTTCAGGACAGGGGTGCTGGGGTGCAGTGGCTGTCTGGGATGCAGTTTGGGGGTAGTGGAGGGGGACTTGGAGGGGTCCTCTTTTGGGTGGCATGGAGATGATGTCTGGGGGCAACGGGGGGTGTGGGAGATATCTCCCTGGGGCAGGACTGGGATGGGGGTAGGAGACAGCGGGGACGCCTGGTTGGGGTGGGCTGGAAATGGGGTTGCCGGTGCGGCGGCAGGCGCTTCTTACCTGCTTGAACTGCTCCTCATAGGTCCACTCGTGATGCGGGGGGGGGCGGTGGGTCTCGGGGCTCCTCTTCCTCCTCCTCCTCCTGCCCGGTGTCGGAGGGCGGCGGAGCGGGGCTGGGGACCGGAGCGGGCTCGGCCGGGGGCCGTCGGGGCTCGCCGTCGGGGCTGCGGGCCAGGCGGGCCGCCTGCTGCCGCTGCAGGCTCTCCATCACCGCCGCCAGCCGCAGCCCCCCCCCCAGCAGCCCGGACCCCCGCGGTGGGGCAGCCGGCTGCGGGCACAGGGCACGGCCGAGGAGGAGGAGGAGGAGGAGGAGAGAGGAAGCACCCCCACCCTCTCTCTCCCCCCTAGCCACCCCGGGGGCCGTGCCCAAAAGTTGAAGGAGGGGGGAGGGGGTGAAGCCCCCGGGACCCCTCCCCGCGCCCCCCCGAGGGTCCCTCCCGGGACGGCTCCGTGCGGGGACCCTCACCCCGCTCCCACTGGAGACCGCGTCTTACCGGGGACCCCTCCCCGCTCCCACCCCCAGCTCCAGCCACCCCCTCCCCTCTTTCCCCCCCGGGGCACCGCGTCCTACTGGGGGAGAGAGGGGGGACCCCCTTTCCCACCGGGATCCCACCATCCCGGGCACCCCATCCCGTCCCCAGCGGGACCCCCGCGCTCCCGGGGCCCCTCCGGTCCGTCCCGTCGCGGGGTGGCCCTCACCGGGGCGGCTTTGGCCACCAGGCTGGGGGTCCCCACCATGCCGCCGGCTCCCAGGGCTCCCCCCGCCGTCCCGAGAGAAGGCCGCTGCTCCGCCCGGCCCCCCCGGCCCGCCGCTCACATGGCGCCGCGCCCGCCGATATTTCTTTTTTTTTTCTTTTTTCTTCCCCCTCTTTTCTTTCTTTCTTTCTCTCTTTCTCTCTTCCTTCCTTCCTTTTTTTTTTTTTTTTTTTTTTTTTTTTTTTTTTTTGCAACAAGTGGCAGGCGGGCACCCCTCCCCGCCTCCCCGCTCCCATTTGCTAGAGCACGGCAAAGGGAGGCATCCGGGGAGGGCCCCGGGATTTGGGGGGGGCTGTGGGTGCACGAGTGGGTGTGCACGCGTGGGGGTGCCTACACACCTAGGTGGGCGCTGGGAGCACGGGGTGCACGCTGCACACGTGTGGATGCATGTGCAGAGGGGCTGCGTTTGCACACACGTGTGCTGCTCGTGGGGAGGTGTGTGTGGGCTCCGTGAGTGCACGCAGGGTGTGAGCACATGTGTGCTTGTGCACAGTGAGGGAGGTGAGCACCTTGCGTGTGTGTGTGTGTGTGTGCATGCAACAGGGGTGCACATGTCATGTTTATGGCATGCATTCACCCTGGGGAGTGCAGTCCGTGTACTCATCGTGCAGTCAATTGCACGCACACATGCAGCTGTATGCATCGCTGGAGGGACCAGGCATGTGCGTGTGTGAGCATTTGCATGCTGCTGGGGTCAGAAATAAGGATTTACATGTGCCTGCTGAGGCTGGGCGTGTGCATTTTGTGTGCTTACCTGTAGGCATGTGGAAATGGGGCTGGGAGGGGTGCAGGATGTGCTGTGTGCACAGGCAGGTGTGTGCACACGTGTGCTTGTGGAGGTGGGGGGTGCACCCGCAGTGCCTGTCCCTGGGTGGGTACAAGGGGGAGGGTGAAGCAAGCAGCAAGCACCGAGCCCTGGCCTCCGTGCAAACCCTGCCTGCGGGCTCATGCTGCTGTTCTGGGTGTTGGTGGCATGGGGTGACAGGAGCTCTGTCCCCTCCGGAGCCACCTGCCTGCCAACAGCTGTCCCACCACGCAAGCCACCCTAGAGGCAGCCACATTTTGCTCTCAGGCTCCGCAGGCTGCTCCGAGCCTCTGTCCCCTTCACTGCTTCCCTTTGCAGGGAAAAGCCACTGCTTTGGGCGCCCACCCGGCTCCTTGCACCCCCAGGGCTCATGCAGCACAGTGCCGTGGCTCTGCTGGAAAACAGCCCCTTCCCACAGGAGCAGGGCAGCATCTGACCCTGCAGGGCCCCCAGGTGCTGTTTATCTTTGCGCAGGAGATAAAGCAGCTGTCGGCCATCCCGTGCCGGGGCTGGACAGCTGGAGCTCGCCCTGGCCCATCCTCTCCTGCCGTGGCAGCAACCTCCCAGTGCTTGCTAGCCACTCCAGGCATCAGTTTATGGCCCAATGCTCCAGCACAAGCTGCCTCTGGAAACTGCGCTCTAGTCCTGCTTGGGGGGGCATTGGGACCACAGGGCCAGAAGCCCCTCAGGGCTCACTCTGCAGGTCCCCAATAGATCAGGGCTGCACCCAAGGGTGCTGGGTTGCACCCATTCCCTGCATATAGGGAGCCAGGGCTGATTTGTGGGGTGCAGCATCCCTCATCACTCCAGGTGTGGCCACCACGGGGACCTGACCCAGTTGTCCCTGGCAGGGTCGTGTCCCCAAAACCCTCCTGCTCAGCATTGTTGTGCTGCTGGGGCCCGGTGAAGCTTCTAGATGGAAAGAAAGAGAAATCCCCCAGACAAACGGCTATTGATGGCTGAGGTGGAGGCAGCGCAGATAGATACTGTAGGTATAGATGGGCATGGCAGACAGCAGAGCAGACTGAGAGATACTCGGAGCAGAGAGATACCGCAGGAAGAATCAGGAGATAGATCCTGTGGGCTGATCAATACCTACTGCGTGCGGAGGAACAGCAAGATAGAGCGAACTGCAGGGGGAAGGTGTTGGGTGGGCAGCAAAGTGCATTTGTCCTGGCCATGGCTCCGGGAAGATGCTGCTCCAGCTGGAGCTGGACCTGTGTAGCCGAGTCTTCTTGTCCACCTTTAGCCACCCTTGTTGTCCTGGGGCCCATTAAGGTGCAGGCCCATTAAGGTGCAGATCTCCCATGTGTGTTGGTCACATTTCCTGGCCCCGCGGAGATGTCCAGGCCACCTGTGGGCATCTCAGGGGCCACTGTGTGCATGCATCGGGCAGCTGAGGGGGAATGAACATGAGCCCTGGCCCTGGGACAGGAGCTGGGTATCAGTGGGTGAGCGCCCACCCCACGCCATGCTTCAGTTTCCCCATGTGAACCAAATTAGGGCAGGCTGCAGGGAGCTGGGTCAGGCTGGCACAGACAGGTCCCAATGAGGACGTGTGGGGACAAGGAAGCAGAGCCAGCAGAAGCCTGTGGGACACAACATGTCCAGCACCCACCTCTTGCCTGATGATCACTAGGGACATACAGCTACTTGGTGACAGGCTGCCCCAAAGGAAAGGGCTGCTTTTGGTACCCTGGCACACCTGGCACTGTCCCCACTCAGCGCTGGAATGGGGACAACCCCTCCTGCTGTGGCAGAGCTGCCTGGGCTGCTGGCTCCCAGCCCAGTCCCATACCAGTGGCACTTGCCCAAGCCCCCTGAGCTGCCCACTTCTTCTTCTAGGCACATCCAGGGGGGACAAGGGCACCCCCAGAGCAACCCCAGGCTCCCCGAGCTGAGGAGGGAACCCCTGCCTGCAATGGAATTATTGACACGGGCACTACGGAAAACACTGCTGAGACTCTTCACACTAATGTTATTTAGCAGCAATATTTCCATAATAAAATAAATCAATGGGCAAGAGAAAAACCTGTCTAGAGCTTTGATTTTCTCATTTTAATGGCACTTATTTACTCCCACCAGCGTGCCCATCGGATTTTCATTACGCAGCCTTTGCTGTAAGTGGAGAGGTATTGATACGAGCTGCTGAGTTAGTGCCTTCCCGTGCGGGCTGGCGCAGGATTACTCATGTTCCTCGACAGGCCTGCAGGAATGCTTGCACACACATAAACACACCCCTGTGCACGCACACACACATATACTCCAGGACAACGCACATGTGCACCCTATAGAGGCATGCATACCACTATCCTCTCTATGTGCACACACAGATTTGTGCATGTGCCCAATGTGTGCACACGCTTGTTCTCACCGTATGGACTGATACACAGTTACTCTACATATATCCCAGTGTATGCACACTCATCCTGACCATACCTCCTGCAAACTTTTACCTATCCGTATACCCACACCTGTGCACACCCAACTTATGCACACCTAACTGTCCTGCTTGCACCTGTGCATGCACACAGCCTGTGCACCCCCAGAGTACCTCCTGTGCCTGTCTCACACCTGTGCGTTACCCTGCTCTCCATGTGCTCGCCCCTGTCCCTTTGCACCCCTCTGGGGACACCCGGCTGTCCCCAGGACCCCCTGCTCTGCTGCTGAGCCCAGAGCCAGACGGATCCTGCCCCATGCCCCATGGCGGGGGCTCAGCAAGCTCCAGAGACTTCCCGGGGGAGTGGAATGAAGACGTTTATTACTTACATCTCTTTTTGGGTGGCAAATTAAGACGTAGCCCGCCTGTGGGGCTCCCGGTTGGTGGAAAGAGGCCAGTATGGGGAGTGGGGAGGAAGGACATGTTACAGGCCTGATGGCCAGGGGACACGCGCACACACACACACACACACACACACACATTATTTTGGCAACAGCATGGAGGTGAAAGCCCTCCACCGAGCAGCAAGCCCACTTCAGGCACAGAGCTGCAAGCAGGGTCCGCACCCCAGCTCAGCCAGGGACCCTAATGGGCCTCAGCCAGGGGAAGTGTTTTGAGGGGCAAAGTCCCATCCTGAGCTGATTCAGAGGTTTGGGCACCTGCAGACACTAGGCACATGCATAGCTTGGAGGCCACGCTCGGTTAAGGTGACAGAGGGTGGCTGTCCCCCTTGGGGGGACATGAGCAGGGCGTGTGGAAAAAAGGGACCCTCTTCCAGCCTCCACATCCCCGGGGGAGATGACACACTGGGGCCAGGGGCCAGCCCAGAACGGACCTCCAGTGCAGAGACCAGGCATCCACTTGCTGCCTGGGGGTCCCAGCGCAGAGCCCCCTGCTGCTGTGGGGACACTGTGCGCTGCCAACCCATGTCCGCAGGGATGGGAGCAAGGGCAGGAGATGCCAGCTGGATGCCGCGCTCTGCTCTGACCGCAGCCACGGCAGCCCCCCAGCACGGCCGGGACACTGGGAACTTCCCAGCCAACCTCTGCTGAGGCTGCTCGGGGCTGGCTTTCCCCATGCACTGTGACCCAAGGGGCACAGGGCAGCCCAGCTTGCGCCAGCATCCTCATCCCCAGGTTTTGGGACCTGCGGTCTGGAGAGAAGGAAGAGGAGCAGGGAGGAAGGCTGGCAGGGAAGCCAAGCCAGCCGGGCTCAGCACCCCAAGGTGCTGATGAAGGCATTGGCTTCCAGGAGCAGGCCCTTGACGTAGACGTGCAGGGTGTAGAAGAGGGTTACGAAGTCCTGAGTGCTGAAGAGGGTGTCAGCCAGGGCGAAGGCGAGCGTGGAGGGGATGAAGCCCCGACCGTACTCTACCATCCAGGTGCCCGCGCTCCACTGCACCGATGTGGCCTCTCCCGCCTGGTGCACGATGGTGTCCCCTGCCAAAACACATGTGTGGCATTGCTCCCAGCGGCTGTCCCATATCAAAGAGGAGACGTGGGGCCGGGAGCTGCAGTGCTGAGCACCCCACTCCATACACCCCTGCCCCTCCCCATTCTTTTGCATTCTTTTGTACCAGCCACTTTTTTATTACTGGTACCCACTGAGGTGCTGGGACACGTGCAGTGGACATGAAGCACCCCATCCTGAGCTCCTGGCTTGTGCCAGCTGGAGGGAGGAGGCTCTGTGACAGCCCCCTCTGTGTGCTTACCGGGATAGTAGATCTCACTTCTGGTGGTCCCCTCCTTCCACTGCCGGAAGGTCCCCGAGATGACAGTGTCAGAGATATCTGCCCAGTACCGGCCTGCAGGAGGGCATAGCACTGACTCAGCGCATCCCTGCTGGGGACGGGAAGGATGCCAGCCCCAGGGGAAGGATGGTGCTAGAAGAAGCAGGGCTAATAGACCTTGGAGAACCCCCCCTGTCCCCACGTACCCGAGTGGCCCCCGGTGTCGATGGCCGTCCCGAAGAGCAGCACATACTCAGTGAGGGAGGCATGCAGCAGGCACATGGAGCCCATCCAGCCACCTGCATTCATGAACACCCACTGCAGGTCCTCATCAGGCAGGATGTGGCCCGGGTGCTTCTTCCGCAGCTCCACGATAATCTTGGAGAAAGCCAACTCATGGTCCAGCCCTGTGGCACACCGGGGAAGATGCGAGTCCCTGGCATGGAGCGAGCTCTGACAGCCCCCTCTGCAACCCCATTCCCAGCCATGGGGTCCTAGTGTGTCCCTCGGGGGGGGCCTCCCTGTGTGAGATCTCTCCTGCCCCCAGCCCTGCTGCTTGGTGACGGGGCCGTGCAGCACTGAGCACTCCAGCCCTACACCACCTATGGGGCAGCAAGGAGGGCCCCGGCAAGGCAATTGCGACCCTGCGCCAGCATTATGCACCCCACCCCAGCTGTGACCCCACACCCGTGCCCTATGGGGCCAGCCTTTCCCGGCCCTGTTCTGGGTTCTGCTTCCCGTGCCGTGCCACCATCCCCACGTACCCGCGTGGTGCCGGACGAGCTGGGCGATCTCAGCGGGCTGGAACTCGTACCTCTTGCAGGCCAGCCAGCCCCGCAGGCCCTGCAGCAGCAAGGCCAAAGTCCCCAGCGCCAGCCCGACCCGCAGAGCCCACGGCCCCGACACCCCCATGGCTGCGGCCCGCTCCGCCCCGGGACCGCCCCGACGAGGCCCCACCGCCCCCTGGTCGGCTGTGCCGGCGCGGAGAGGAGGGACCGGGAGGGAACAGCGGGGGGGGGGGGAACGGGGAAGGGGGCGGGGAAAGGCCGGGGAAGGGCCCGCCAGGCTTCTGGGGGTGGTGAAGGCATGGCGGAGGCTGGAGGGGGTCGGGAGTTCCGTGCCAGCGGTAAGGCGGGGGAAGGGATGGAGGTGTGTGAGCACCACGCGTGTCCCCTTGTGCCCCACTCGTGTTTCTATGCGCCCCACTTGTCCCCGTGTCCCATCCGTGTCCTCCCGCACCCTGCTCTTTTCCCCTTGTGCCCCACGTGTGTCTCCTGCACCCCCACTCGAGGCCCCTATGCTCCACTTGTGTCCCCTCACTCCCTACTCGTGTTCCCTGTGCCCCACCGTGCCCCCCCACGCATCTCCCACACCCCGCTCATGTCCCCTTGCTCCCCCTGCGTGTCTCTCCATGCCCCTTGCGTGTCTCTGCACCCCACTCGTGTACCCCCGTGCATGTCTCCCCATGCCCCACTCGTGTCTCTCTGCACATCACTCATGCTCCCCCACATCCCAGTTTGTGTCCCCTCCATGCCCCATCATGTCCCCCTATGCCCTACGCTTGTCCCCCTGTGCCCCACTCATGTCCCCTTGCATCCTCACTCATGTCAAGCTGCCGAACCAAGGAGCTGCTCCTCTTCCTCCTCCTCCTCACCACCTGGGGCTTCAGCCCTTATCCTGCCTGGGTACCAGGGATGCTGTGTAGGGATGCAGCAAGGGGCTGGATCAGTGCGGGACCAGGGCTGCTGGGGGGCTGGCTCGGTGTGGGGCAGCAGCACCTGGTGCCTGGGGTGGGCTGGGGGATGCTTCAGGCAGCTCCATGCTCTCCGCTCAGCCCTGCAGCCCCTTGCCCTGGGCAAGCCCCCAGGCTGTGCAGGAGGAGGTCCTGTGATCCCCACGGCTGATTTAGGGGTTTGCCACATGGGGATGCTCAGTGTATGGGGCCAAGCATCACCTGCCATCACATCCTCGCACAGTTTTTTTTTTTTAAATCATCACCAAAGAGCCATTCTCATAACTCCATAATGAGGCCTGTATTGTTGTGAAGTCTGAGAGTGGTCCCATGGGGGCCAGAAATCTTCTGTGAGCAGGGAGATGTTCTCCTCCTCAGAACTGATTTGCTTCCTCTAAGGCAGTGACTCATGTGAAGGGCCATGTCCCTATGTGTGCATTGCTCCCACATCCCAGCAGGATGCTCAGAGCTGGGCTGGATGATGTCCCCATCCCCTCCCTGGTGTCCCCATCCCATGACACATCCCCCCCACTGACCCTCAGGTCCCCGGTGTCCTGTAGGTCCCTAGGGTTTTTGGGAGGAGGCAGTTGGGGTAACCCCACAACTGCCTTCATCTCCTCTCCTTCTTGTAACAAATGCATCTGCAGCCACCTTGGACCTTCCCGGCTCTTCCCTGGGGCCCTGGAAAAGTGGCAACGAATCAGTTTAAATGTGGCAATCCAGATTGGGGTAATTAGCCGCTGAACCAGTTGTAACAAAGCTCATCATCCCCCTGCACACGCAGTTAGCTCTGATTTAACAGCCCACCGGCTCCCAGCCCAGGCCACTGCGTGTCAGCCCAGGGCCATAAATGAAACTCGCAGTAAGTCAAGCAGTATTAAACTTTACAGTCACTGTCTTTAAAAATGAGATGCTTTCTCCAGTAAATCAGAGCAAGTGGGATTGTAAATATCAAGGCAGGATACATATTGCTTAATTAAACAGCACCTAATGAACAGCCTGTTTGTTGTGTTGTGATTTAGGATGGGAGCTGGAGTGTGTCAAGGAGCAAAGCCCTGCTCGCAGGTAGCAGCTGCTGCAGGTCAGCTGCTGCTGAAACAGCGCTGAGACACTGCAAGGGTTTCCCTTGGTTTAATTTCAAATTTTTTACCCCCCAAAAATGTGAAAAATTCAGAGGGGAAGTCAGCTGTAAGTGGAGGAGGAGGGGGATGCTCCTGGTACAAATATCCTGGGGTATTTGTATCCCTGGATGCTCCTGGTACTAAAAATACCCCAGTATTTTTAGGTTGTGTGAGGGGGTGGAGAAGCCTGGCAGGGAAAGAATGGAGCCTTCCTGCAGTGCGGGGAGGTGGGGGGCTGGTGCAGCTGGTGATGCAAATGCCCTGCAATTTGTAGGAACCATCGCTGCTGCGCTATAAAGCCCCAGAGCCTTTTATGTTTTGGTAGCTGCAGTCTGGTTGTAATCAAAAAGGCAGAAAAGTGATTTGTGGGAAAGAGATGGAGATGGGTGTGGGGCCGAGGGGTGGCTGCCTGCCCCTGGGGGCTGTGAGAACTGCTCGTGGCCTGGGGATGTCGCATGTCCCATGCACAGGGAGATCCTCAGCATTGCCATCTCCCTCCTAGTCCCACAGCCCAGCTGTCCCCAGGGCTCTGCTCAGCTCTTTTGCCATCTCCCGAGCCTCAAATACTGCTGGTTCCTTCCTCATCTCCTTGTGCAGGAGAGACAATAAATAAGGGAAATTAATTTTGGTTGGACCTGACAATCTCTTGAGGTAATAAATGGCTCAGTCTTCAAAATAGGACTATAATCAAAGTTTACAATTTATTAAAGGAATAGAGGTAAGCAAACAGCGCTGGGTGCGCCGGGAGTCTCTGCTCCACCAAGACGCACACCAGTTACATCAAGCAGCTGATTTTTATGCTCCTAGGCTAATATATATTCATTACTACTTTAAAAAAAAACAGGGTTATCATAATTAGTTTCCAGAATCCAAACCCTCCTACTGGAGCATGCGTATCAGTCTCCGGTGGTCCCTCTGGGGGTCTCTGGGGGTCTCTCGTGCTGAAGGCTCATAGTCTTCCTCCCTCTTGTCCTTCTCCTTTGTCCAACTTGGCTGTATGTCAGAGACTTGTGCAGCGTCCCCTGCAAGCTTTGTCTTTTAGCTGTTCTTCAGCTCTCCCCGTCTCCTTAATCTCCTGGCCAGATATCAGAGACTTGCATAGTGTCCCATGCAATAGTCATAATAGTTAGCAGTTATTCTGAAACTCCCCAGATATCAGAGACTTCAAGGAAAAACCTACAAATTCATTTCCCTTCAAGCTCTCTATTGACACGAATTGCTAAAACATTCCTTTGCAAGACACAAGAACTATATACATTAACCACTGTTTTTCTTAGACTTGTGGTTATACAAGGGTATGTAAGACAGAAGGTCACATTCATCATACCATAAATGATATATATACCATACAATGATATAAATAATATATAAAATGATATATATACCATAAATGATATAAATACCATACAATTCTCTGTATTCCAAGGTAGCTGTGTAGTCATAATAAGGAGAAATGCTAGGTAGATAAGTGGACAGTAGAAGGCCTCACTGTTCCAAAATAAGGTAGAAGCTTGGAATAATTTGTATTCCTGGGGGGGAAACGTCAATCTTGATTATGTTATTCACAGGAGAAGAATGTTTAGGAGGGGAATGATTTGCCAGGCAGCTATGCAAGAATGGGAAAGAACTAAACCAGACCGAGAGTAATTCTGAAATTCCGATAGAGCAGAAATATCTGCTTATCTAACTGCGATAATAACAACCCAGAACACGGAAATCATACGAGAGACTGGAGGATGAATCCTGAGGACGTGGTAGACCAAGGGCTCTTTAAAGTTCATTTCGTGATTAAAGCCTGGCCAGATATACAGAAAAAGCTCCAGAAGGTGGGAGGATGGAGTGAACAGTGCGGGTAGTATGAAGGTGTACGCCAGGAGGGGAGATGAGAAGAAAAAGCACAGAGTGAAACAAATAGTATTTGTAATAAATCAGACAAAACATGAATCAGATGAACACATTTCACAATCCCCCATCTCCTTTTTCATGGCATTGATTCGTGTTTTCCTTTCCAATCGAGTCAATACTTGCCGAATTGATATCAATTTTGGATCTGCATTTGTTTTTATTATCATCAGGGAATGGGTTTTCTCTTTCCCTGGTTCTAGGTCAACAGGTACCGCAGATATTTGCATTCTTTGTATAACCGAGTGTATTAGTCTGGTAATACAGGGTATTAAACATGGAATTATTAACAATCCTCCACATATCCCCAATACAACCATCCTTATTTTAGCAAACCAATCACCCCCCATAAAGCCCCCTCCCATAATCTTCTTAGATCGATTCCATTACAAATTTGAACTGGGACACGTGCAATTTTCTTCATTTCCTTTACAAGTTCATTTACAGCTTTTCTTTCTGTTGTGGTTTAACCCAGCTGGCAGATAAACACCACACGGCCGCTCGCTCACCTCCCCCCCTCCCTCTCTGGGATGGGGGAAAGAAATATGAAAGTGAAGCCTGTGAGTTGAGATAAAGACAGGAAAATAACAATAACAATAATAAAAATGAGAATAATGATGATAATAGTACTACTAGTAATAATGTGTATGAAACAGGTGATGCACAATGCAATTGCTCACCACCCGCTGACTGATGCCCAGCCTAACCCCGAACAGTCTGGCCCTCCTCCCAGCTCTTGCACCCCCAGCCTGTCTGTTGGCAGGACAGAGTGAGAAGCTGAAATGTCCTTGGCTTGGTGTAAGCACTGCTCTGCAACAATTAAAACATCAGCATATTATCAGCACTCTTCTCATCCTAAACCAGAACATAGCATTCTACCAGCTACTAGGAAGAAACACCCTCATCATCAATCTCTAAACAGCAATTACTGAAGTTAAATTTTCCACAGACTTCTCCTTCTTGTGCTAGTAAATAATCCAAAGCTAAGCGATTTTGATACAAAGCAGTTCTCATCTTGGTATTTTGCTTTGCAATTAATCCAAGTGCATCTCCGGTTTTATTTACAACTATTTCTATTACAGCTTGTAACCTAATTATTCTATTAAGCATATATATTGGGGTCCTATAGCCCCAGGATCCGTCTTCTGCCCGCGTAGCTGGATCATAATAGGCAAACGCCTTCAATCAAGGGCTTGGGCCCGC